AAAAGCAGAGACATCACCCTGCCAACAAAAGAGCGTATAGTCAAGGCTATGGTTTTCCAGTTGCAATGTATGGCTGTGAAAGTTGGACCATAAGGAAGGCTGAGCGCCAAAGGATTGAGGCCTTTGAATTGTGGTGCTAGAGGAGACTCCTGCGAGTCCCTTGGACCACAAGGCTATCAAACCGGTCAGTCCTAGAGGAGATCAACCCTGACTGCTCTTTAGAAGGCCAGATCCTGAAGATGAAACTCAAATACTTTGGGCACCTAATAAGAAGGAAGGACTCCCTGGAGAAGAGCCTAATGCTGGGAACAATAGATGGCAAAAGAAGAAAGGGACAGCAGAGAATGAGGTGGCTAGATGGAGTCACTGAAGCAGTTGGTGTGAGGTTAAGTGGACTCCGGGGGATGGTGGAGGACAGGAAGGCCTGGAGGAATGTTGTCCATGCGGTTGCGATGGGTTGGACACGACTTCGTGACTAACAACAACAACAAGGTTTTATTATAGAATCATTGTATAACTTATATGTTCTAGGAAAAATCTCATTTTGTCTGCAGTATCTAAATTTCAGCACAATGGCGCTTAAAGCTAGAAACTGAGGAATTATTCCATTCCTGTTTAATCTGATGGAAGAGATTCTGGAAGAACATTTAGATTCTCCTTCCGTAATGTTCAAGTCTATAGTTCTAAATATCCTCACAATGCATTTGAAGGAAGTGCATCTTTACTAGGGAAAAAAGTCTACTATAGCCAAAATTAAAGTCTGCACTTAGTAAAATTAGGTGTGGAGAAAGTCCTTCTGTAAAACTGGGTTGACTCAGGTTGTCTATTCTCGTGTACCAGATGGCAATGCAGGACTAAATATGATCCAATGTTAGATGGACAATTGTTCAAATATGTAGAGCAGGGGTCTCACCACGGGATGAACGGCCCACCACCACCACGGTGATGGAATCCTTGATGCGGCCCAGCCTCACCCAGCCTCTACTTCCAGCGGCCCCCAGGTAAGTTGAGTTTGAGACCCCTGATGTAGAGGAAAGGGACTTCCTGAACTTGAAATTAGCATTAGGGATGTTTCCAGGCAACTACTCAGCACTCCAACTGACCAGGATTTATGAAGTTGGAGCCCAAGACTTCTGGAGGGCACCAAGTTTGGAGACACCAAGCTAGGGTATTATCAGCCTGATGATGGCATCTTAACCCAAATCCCTGAATGGCTTTTTCCAGAGATAGATGTTAAAAATCACTAGGGAACAAAATGGAACCATCTACTGTATGCTGCAGGGCCAAACTCCAAACTTTTGGAATCAGTCTTCCAAATTAGAGTGATGCCTATTGAGCCCAACCTGGAGATCCTATGATGAAAGATACCATCAGCTTTATTGCTTAGAGATCTGCAAAACTAGCAGATTCATGCTACTTGCCCTGTTTTTCTTATGGCTGTGCTCTTGCTCCCAGAATGTCAAAATCAGAGGACATTTATATTACATTTACACCTTTTACAGGAAATGGGGGCAGAGTCTGGGATGGGAATGTTTACTCTGCTAGGCTTTAAGAGGGTAATTCAGATTTGCATGGTATTCAAATCCAACTTTATTCAGAACTATTGTGGCGTTTGATCAAAAGCTCATTAACATGCCAATGTATTCTGATCACACTGATGAAGCATGCTGCCTCAAATTCAGCTTGTTATCATTAGGTAGATGATCTCTCTACTGAATCAGGAATGGGACAGTCCTGGAATACATGGGTAATGAAGTTTAACCTGACTGAATGTGTTTTCATTTGAATACATCTGATGCTATAGACCTGTGTACACAGTGTTTGTGTGCCCTTGGCTAAGTCACAACAACAGTAGGGCTGTTTGGACACAAGAAAATGTGTGGATAGTAGTATCACATGTGACCATTTAACATAACATAAACTCAGCTTATCGTGGGCTTTCCCAGGGGTGGCCAAACCAAGGCTCACAAACTGCATGCTGCTGTTGGAGTTTATTTTGCCCTCACTACTTACCCCTACAGGCACCCATGGGCACCTGCTTGCAGCTCTCAAACATCTGACATTTACCATATGCAGCTCTTCTGTTGAACAAGTCTGGCCAACTCTGGGATTTTTTTTTTTTTTTCGATTTGTATCTGCCTTTTTCCTACAAAGGGCTCAAGGCAGCTTGCATCATTCTCCTCCTCCATCTTATCCCCACAACAACAACCCTGTGAAGTAGGTTGGGCTGAGAGTCTGTGACTGGCCCAAAGTCACCCAGTTGGCTCCATGGCCGAGCAGGGACTAGAACCCAGATCACCTGAGTCCCAGTCCCGTGCTCTTAACCACTACACCACATTGGCTTTTCCATTCACTTATATGAAAGGAGCAGTTGTCCATTTTTCCTGCCATCATAATGAATGGAGGAACCATCTAATATCATCTGGATCTGTGTCCTCACTTCTCATGTCTTCATAGAATGGGAATTATAACCTTCTGAAAGGCAGCAACACCTTGTATATGTCTCTCACAAAATCAATTTTTAGATCTTTGTAACTTAGGGTTGAGGGGGCAGATCTCAAAATCTGGAAACCTTTGTAGTTCTCACTTTCCTTAGGAATCTTTTCTTGAATGAAACTGTGAGGCAGAAGGCTTAATATCTGGAAAACCAATGTGTGGTTTGTACAATTGGGAAAGGAATATGTCACAGTAGCTTATTCTCCCACCATGTGCTTACCTGTTTCATTATTACCCCTGCCAAGTGCAGTTTATTGTGCCATCCAGACCTGGAAGGGAAGGAGACAGGGTGGTTTACATGGGGTGGTTCATATACCTTCTCACACGGCCCCCTCACTGGTTTGGGCTACATGGCAAACCACACCTGGTGAAAGGAATTGGGGAAATTCAATGGTGTGCAGCCAGCACATGTGGGACAGTGATTGCCTGTCCTTCCCCAATTGTGTAAACACACTCAATGAGAATCACTCATGGTAGGATTATTTTCTAGGGAGAAATCTGAATCGGCTCACTAGCAATACTCTTATGCCACCAGCCTCCAAACAACTGCTGCTTATGCTGACAATTTATGCTGGGATATGATTTAATACTTGGAAAAATAAATTACTGTTAACTGAGGTAGCACAAAGCCATCTGACTTAATGTGCATGGAGTTGTTTATTTTTACAGTGCCTCAGTTTTATTTTTTTTAAGTGCTGCTACCGTCAATGCACTGATGACCACAAATCATCTGGCACTCTTCTATTTGGATTATCTCAGTAAATAAATTTATAGAAACTATTACATTTTGGAAAGTAGAATTTGAAACTACTGGGAAATATAATCCTTTTGTGACTTGCTTCTTCAAGCATCACATGAGTTTACTGAATTACTGTTTGTGCCAGCAAGTTGCTTAATATCCTCTTTTAATGAGCACATCCTCAAAGGAGCTGAAAAGCAGCTGGTAAGGGGAGTGGTGGTACTCATTGCATAAGTGGTACAACAGTACTTTGGCTGGATCCGAAGATGCTCTTGCAGAAGTGGAAGGAGCATCCACCAGTTCAGAGTCACCATCCCAGTTTCTGTGGATCCATCCCCTGCTGCGACACCTCGTGCCCTGTCCTTGGCCAGTGCGGAGAATTGCCTGACCCTGAAGAGTACAGAGCAGCTACAGTGGGGCAGAAGGTGCAGGAAAGATGATGCAGAAGTTAAACCCCTGCATGCTTTAAAGTCCAAGCTTTTAGTTAGCATTGTTTTCCTCTGAGAAAAGCATGACGTGATCCTTTGAGAAAAGCATGACCTGGTAAATAGCAGGTAAAGGGCACGTATAATTGTTATGACTGAAATGCTTAACTGGATTCCCATTGAAATTGTAGTCAAAATAACTACGGTGGTCTTAGATGCCATCATAAGGCATATTTCAGTATTTACTGTTACAGTTTTATTTATTTTTATATTTATTCATTATATTTATATTCTGCCTTTTTTCCTTTCAAGGAACTCCGGTTTTTCATTTAAGGGGGCTAAATGGCTCGTTGACAGAAGCAAATAATTGAATCGCTTTGACACAGTCCCTCTCTGGGTAGGCACAGTGCCACTGCGAAGAGAGATCACCGGGATCACCGGAGGGCATAGCAGAATTTCTATCTTTGCCCTCCCATTTTAGCTAGGCCATAGCAAAGAATAAAAGAGCTTGGTATTCGGAGGTGGGTAGGATGACAAAGTGTTCTACAAAGTTAAGCCCTGCTGTGTTGGCAGCTTTAGAAGATCAGGTAGAACAGCCTATCAAAACCTGGTATACTCCAGATGTCTTGGATTGCCCCCACTAGCAATCTTTACACTTGGTATGGTAGCAGCAGTTGATGGGATTTGAAGTACAGCACGTCTGGAGGGTACTGAGTTGAAGAAAGATGAGACAGAAAGTGGGTTTGGGAACTGCTTGATGGAAGCACTACCAATATAAACCTGTCATTTGAGATCAAGCCTATCAGGCAGACATTGCAAATGTAGATGATGGTTTCAGTTTGTATTCCTTATGAAGAAGGATATGGAGCATTGGAAAGTGTTCATGCTATAGAAAAAGGTTGTCCTCTAAACACACTGTTCTTGTTCCTTTCTACTCAGCTCAGAAGAACCCTTTTTCTTCTGAACCTACTCCCTGTTGAGGAAACTCGAAGTCCACTCGTGCAAGGGCACTTTCCTCTTCTGTCTTCCACCTTGCTTCTCCTGTTGTAGCAGGTTCCCCTTGGATCTAGGACAGGATGCATGAAGGCCTGCCGTGGGAGGAAGAACACCCCTCACCTGCTCCAGGGGTGATCCACCAGCAGGATAAATTAATTGGAAGCCACTGTATGTTTGTGAAATGTAGAGATCGCAACATTACTATGATTATTATGTTACTTTACAAAATCCTGTTAAAATTATGGCTGTGAACAATTACTTTTACTATATGGATGCAAATTCTAGGATGTATATATACGTACTGACATGAAATAGCCTGAATCTTTTTCTTGTGTCTCTTTCAGGCATGAATACTAGCAAAAGTGAGACCGTGAAGGAGCCCCCCTTAAAGCCTTCCAGAAGATCCTTGCCATGCCTCGCTCAGAGCCAAACCCACCCCCACAGCCTCAGCAAACATTCCTCCTTCCTCCAGCCAAACCGAGTGCAGCCTCAGCCCCAGCCCCAGCCCGTGAGTGCAGGGACATCAACCACTACAGTTGATGTAGTCTCAGAACGAGGTGAGTATTGCCTAGGGAGACCAGAGATGCAGCTGGAGTGGACCCTTATGGTCAGGTCCAGGACCCCTGGGAGCCCAAATGACCAGCCAGAGAGTGGCAGCTTGCTGGGAGCCAGGCCTGCCGAGGTTCACCCGGGCTGATACTGACTGGTCAATGTGGCATATTGTCCTCCCACCGTTTTTTTTTTTTTTACTTTCTAGTCACTGGGTGGCTGGGAGAGCATATACATGCGGAACAGAGATTCTTTTCTTATGTTTATAAAATATATATTGTTGTTCCTACAATAAACTGATGCTTATCCAGAAGGAAATGTGTTGGATAGAGAATCAGCCTTCCACAAGAAGAAGGAACCTTCTTTGAGAGGAGGGACTTGGCACATGCTCAGGGTATTTACTGTTTTTATCAGGACTGGCAAAGGGCTATTATTGTTTTACTCTGATGTGACTGAAATTTTTGAGCAGTTATAAAGCATGGAATAGCAATAGCAGGGGAGAATAGAAGAGAAGGGAAAGTCATGGCTTTTTCCACCCAACCCTCTGCTCCATAAGATCATTAAGTCAAAGTAAGTCTAAAATTACCAGCTGCACCACTGACACTAGTATTCTTTCAAACGTGCAATGATTTATAAATGTGATGGACAAGCAAAAGAAATGGGACTTGATTTTGTGTGATACTAACAATGGCTTTGATGGATTTTTTTTTTCCTTTCAGCCAAAGTAATGGAAACCTTGGAAAACAATTTACTCAAGTTGTCAAACACAGAATACAGTGATCCATTCTTAGGTGCGTTCTCCCTGTTCAATTATATTGTTAAAAATAAATCCATTCCCCTCCCTTTTGTACAACCTAATTGCGCAAAGTAAAGTTACAATATGCCGAGAGTTCTTTTTGGGTAATGGTGCAAGACAGTAATCATGAGAATGGGACATTCTGCCAACATAGCCTTGTTTTACGGCCGCAGCTTTTAATGTGGAATTGCTTCCTTAATTTAGGTCATTCCCACTCTACACATCAGCCAGTGCGTCTTCAATACACAGTTAACCTCAGAGCAGCATAGACAGAAAAACAGAATATGTAGACATGCATTTTGGTGTTTGGCTGCTTCCCAGCATACTGACTTTCTTCCACGGAACCACATTCCTTTTACAGATTATGTGTTGGAGCCTAACCAGCTACCTCAATTGGAAGGGCCTTTTCCATCTGTAGACTGTTCAGGCAATGAATGATCCTTGGGTGCAAAGGAACAGATTTTTCATTATGCCTCTTCTCCATGCTGTCCCTGCCACCATTTCCCCTTCCACATGGCACAGATTTTAAGAGAGTTCAAGAGGCAACAAGGGTAAGGCCATGTTAGCAGAAGTGAGCCCCTTTTCCTCTTCTGTCAGGAGGAGTAAACCATGCTTCCAGGATGATACTTTCATTTGTACAGGTCTAAACAGACGTTACTTTCAACCCACATCTAACAGCTCTTTTATTTTTCATGTTTAGTCTAGACTAGGTACAGGGTGGGGAACGGATGTAAATTGGACCCATATTTGAACAGAGAAGGGTGAAAACCACCCAGTCCCTCAGCTGTCCAAGCCAAATTTGAGTCCTGTGTACCTACTCAGTGATGATGAGAATGGGAATGATAAAAATTCCACTCTGAGATTGAAAGTAATGGCTGATCTGGCTCTAAGAAAAGCATGAACGAGAAGCTGAAGGAACTGTCTTTTTTGTTCTCAATTTGGGATAGAAAGAAAGGAAAAAAGAAGCAAAAGGAATTAGCACTGTCTTTATTAGTCGTTCTGCTCCTGCCCCCACTTTTCAGTTAACACAGAAGGAATCAAATCAACAGAAAACCCTTCCAGCAGTGCTTTGTGGAAATTCATGCATTTGTACCGCAAGACTCAGATGGATTGTCTTCCGGACAAAACTGCTTTATTCAAACAAAGCCATTTCCACTGAGCTTTCTTGAGCTGAGGCCTCTCTCTTCTCAGCTCAACTGTTGCCATCAACCTCTGGATGGTTGTTCTCAGGAAGCCAAATCACCTCAGGCCGAATCCAGCTATTCTTTCACATTGTTAGAGTCTTCTCCAAAGGATGCAGAGCCTGTATAAGCTCCCTGGGACTTCCAAATGATAAAGGCACAGCAGTTGAAGTAGAATCAGTTTCAAAACAATGACTGTTAGAGCTAAATCTGACAATCTCAAATTAATACTGAATTATTTGCAAAAAAAATTTTCTCAGAAAAGAACCCATTTCACTTCCCAAATGTGCACACTTTCTCCCACATTAAATGGTTTCACCCTTTAGGAAACAAGTGAACACTGAGGGAGAACAGTGATCATTTGACATCCCAAAGGGCTAACCTTGATGAATAGTTAAATCTGACTCCTGACAAAATATTGTTTGTGCTATACTGGAAAACAAAAGAAGACAGGAACTTCTGATATGCACAAGAAGTTATACCACATCATCTAAAAATGGTACAACTTCACCCAAAAGGCAAGCATCCTCTTAAAGTCTGAAGAAATTCATTCCCTACCCCTGGTAATATGTTTGGGGGCTGGGAGGCATTTCTTCCAGGATCTACTCCAACAAAATCATCAGAAATTCTTGTGCTATAAAATTATGCTCAGGTTGATATCTAGACAATTAAAGGATTATAACCCTCTTTTAGCAAGATACCAGACTCCAAATATTTTAAATTGTTTATCTAAATAACCAAAACAACAAAAGCATATTTAAATTAAAAAATATCTGTTGAAATCCCATCTTTCAAGCTAAAGGGCAATTTCTAAAGAAAGTCTGAGTGCAGCTGTACACTGCAGAATGCTCTAATTTTTAAATAAGGCTTGGGATGCCATGTACATGCTGATATTTTTAACTGTGGCTTATGCAAATACACAGACCAATCTTTTAAAGTGTTGCTCAACCTTTTTGGGAGAAATTTTCATTTATGATAATAGAAAACAAAAAGACACCTAAAACAATCCCCAGCCTGCAACCTGTTTTGTAATGCAAGTCCAGGAAGTGGCATTGGAAAATGTTGTCCATGTGACACCCTGCTGGAGTTGGCTATTTTCTTCTTCACTATCCAACACACACACACACAGAGGGGAGGGGGAGGGAGAGGGAGGAGGGCAAGACAGGCAGGATAGAATCAGAATTGAAAGTGAAACAGACAACCCTAAAATAAATATGAGTATTATAGACTTTTTTGACTACTGTCAGAAAAATCCTGGAATTTCAATTCATGAGGAGGAAATAAAACTCAGGTTCATGGGAAAGATCAAGCATTCAGACCATCTGTGGCTTTATTGTTTGACCCAGGTTCCCGCGGTAGGCTCATGATAATGCATTACCGGCAGGCAGAGGTGAACTCGCTGCAAAGTTTCAATACAACTACAGGGTATTTTATACCCTTCCAGTCACGTACACTGGTACAGAGCAATTGATGACAGAATGCAGACATTACAGTAAGATTCTGAGGTCATCACATATAGAACAGAGAAAGGAATGTCAGTCAATCATACAGTGACAATGAGATTACAATATTTCTAATTGCAGTGTATTGACACTTTAGCTGAGTAACTTGAACCCATCTCCAGGTCTGCTTAGACATGTAAATTCAAGCTACTGAGAAACTATTCATGAACTCATAAGCTCATCTAGACTCAGACCCTACGGAATGCATTCGCACTGTTTTGAATGGCCAGGGCACATGGGAGCCCTCTGGGCTAGGAAAAGATACTTCCTGGTAAACTGTGAATTCCAACGAGGATTGTTTAATAATTGTGAAGGTATACAATGTCTATTTGGACTAAATGGCCTGTCTATCGTAGCTTACAACTAAAGGTGAGAGAAATGCCATTTTAAACAGTGACTTAGCTTGGTTTGAGAAGTAGTACAGGATTGATTCCACAATGCAAAAATACGCAGAAGCAATTATTTTCTGACAGGATTTATCCAAATTTTCCAAACACTACCAGCTCCAAAAGTACCTCCATTCTGGTTTAAATAAAGAATGGAGGTGATTCATTTCATTGCTACAGGATAAGATGTGCAGTCTGAGAACATACAATATCCATAAATGTTGATATTGTGTCTTCATTTTACACTGGGATGATTAAGGAATAGTCAAGGGAGAGTATTGATTAATGACAGCATTAACACATGACTCTACTCTTTGCTGGAATTCTGATAGGACAGGATGATAGCATCTTGACCTGAGGACAAACCAGCAGCAGTTGTCATCTGCAGGTGCAAATTTGTGAAATAAAGATTCAGAAACCAATTCTACAGATTTCAGTGAGATTAGTTCCAAGTGAGTTAGAAAATTAGACATTATGAGAAGCACAAGAGTGACTTCGCTCCATTGGCTGCTTCTGGAAAGCACAAAGCATTATGACACAAGGCAAGCAAAATAAACTACAGAGCAGGGAAGATGAAGAATGGTTTTAGCTTTGTTTGCTCTTTGTTCGATGGTGTCTTACCGCAACTACCACCAACCCTTCTTTTCTAATGTCCAATTCTGCCCTTAGTTGCAGCTGCAGATTTCTGTGTAGGTATCTTTGCCTTTAAAACCCCTGATCCTCAAAATGTTCCTCCATCACAAGGCCAATAAAATAAGGTTTGTTGTTCTTGAGGATCACTTTGTCAATGGAGGTGGGGGGAAGGAGTCGAATAAAAAAGAGGAATGACACAACTTCAGTCAGCGCTCCAACATGGATGTTGCTTATATAACATGTGCGATTAATGAGTTTCATTTCTTCAGTCGTCTACTATGAGCTGCCCCAAGAGGATATTAGAGATGAACTGAATTAAGTGAGTGATATAAATATTTAATCATGGAGCTTCAAGAAAGGACAAATGAAAGGGAAGTGTGCAGCGATGTCTACATGAAGGCGAGAAAGCTGCAGACACAGCAGCCATTAATGTAAAGGGCAGAATGCCATTTGCGCTTCAGACCCGTTACAAGTATACTGCTGTATTTAGAACTGCATGGTGCTTTACATGCCTGTGGATTCTGCAACCTTGCCATTTTGGGGTATGTGAGTGAAAACAAAAAATCTGGTGATGGTGTTTTCTGTTTTAGAGAATCTGAAGCCAAAGGCCCGAAAATCAGGATGGGCAGGTGTCCTGTTTTACAGAGAACAGTCTTCTACTAGAAGGCATTCTCTGTTTGAAGGGCTGGCCTGTTCAATTCTGGGTTAAAGATAAAAAGTCATAATAATTGTTACCCATGAATAGTCAGTGCCTGGGAAGCATATCAATCTGCACACACAGGGCAGCACACTTGATCTCAGTTTCCCTCTTTGTCTTGAGATGTCCTATACTTCCACTTAAAATACAATACTTATTATAAACTTTATAAACATAGCTGTCCTCTTTTGTCTTCTTTTTGCATTTCTCCATTTCCTCTGTATTGGCGATTGATAAGGAACCACCTCAGCCAGAATGATCAGACTTATGAAACAGGAGCAAATAGGTTATTATTTATATTTGGTCTAGACAGTGTGTGATCCAGAAAGTTTATTTGCCCACCATATACCTGTATTTGAGACCTCCCAACTCCCTTTTTGCAGCTAGCAGTACAAGCAGGACACATAGTGGGTTCCCCGTAGGTAGGTAAATGGCATTTGGTCTGGTGAATCTCAAGTTGTGCAGGCAGGACTATGTAGCACAGGGCTGAGCAAAATCTGTGTTTTTCCCAGCTCCCATTAGGCCCAGCCAGCATGGTTTAAGGAACCATGGGGGATGTAGGCCAACATATCCAGACAGCTGCTAAGTGTTCTGAA